TCCAAGCTTTTGCCCTTCCTCTGCAGTTTTTAAGTTAGTATCACAGTTGTTGAGTGAATTTGGCTTCCACATTAACTTTGCTTGTCAGAAGGTGGCAAAAGTGATCACATGACCCAGGGATACTGCAACTGTCATAAATGAGTCCGTTGCCAAGCATTTGAATTTTGATCACATGACCGTAGGGATGCTGCAATGGTCATGAGTGTGAAAAATGATCATGACACTTTTTTCACTGCGGTTGTAACCTTGTCACCAAATGAAATGTTGTAAGTTGAGGATTACCTGTAATTGATTCATTTCATCCTTTACTGGGCTGAGATTTCCTATGTTTGTGCTGCTTATTTTCCATCTTTCCACTATGATTTTGTTGTTGCAGCTTCATTATTTTTTTGCATGGCAGCATCCTCATATTATTTGTTTAACCAACTTTTCATACTGCTTCTTTGTCCTTTCCCTTCCATTCACAAACTCCTTCAGTTTATGTGTTTTTCACCATTTTTCAGGTGGACTAGTATTACTTAGCCTCCCTTGTTTATTTATCCCTGCTACAAATCATTTGTTTGGTTTATTGCATTGTATGTGATGTTGCTCTGCAGGTCTCTCTTTCATCTTGGCAAACTTTATTTGTCTCCCCATTGTCCAAGATCTATTTGGATAGATTTTATTACTGTTTTCTAATGTCACAGACCAAGGATGAACAAACAGGATCTCAGCCAAACTTGAATTCCTACAAACTTTTGAAAGGTATTGGAAGTATCTAACAACTACAATCAGAGCTGCAGTAATACCTACAGTCAGAGAACCATAAGACTTCAAAACTGCATTATGAAATTTGGCATACTTAATTTCCCTGCTCATGCTCTGGTTGTCTGTAGATATTATCCTTTCTAGTGAAAAGCAAAAATGTTTTGCACTCTTTAAAAAACTATGGTTTAAAATAGTATAACGTAATATATCCATTTATGTTCCACTATTTCCAGTATCAGTTTTAGGCTACATAGTGGGAAGACAAACCTGTTGTCACACTTGAATTAGGAATGAATTAGGATGAGTTGAAGTAAGATGTTTTCAGATGTAGCTCACTGTCTGATGTTGCAGAATTTTCACATAAATGATTGGAAGAGTCATAAGTTTATTTATTGTGTGTAGAACAGAAGAAGAATCTGTTCTACTTGGTAAAGCAAATACAAGCTGAGAAAACACTCAACTAAGTATTCTTATTTGGAACAGCTTATCTAATGTAGAAGAAATATATTATCACAACACTAGAAATGTTAAAGAGCTATCACCCATTGCTTGAACCAGAGTCATCCATTGGCGTGGGGGAGAAGGGGATACAAAAGCAACTTTGCAACCGCACAGGGTCCACTTTGTGGATTTTGTACATGTGTACTTGACACTGTATGCCAATCAAAAGGAGTGGAGCACAAGGTTGTTTCCACTTTGAAACAGCATTGGATCCTATAGATGCCTCTACTTGGAATACTTGCCTCCAGACTTACCGTATTGATATTTGTTCTGCTTACAATAAGAATGCAAAATAAATTCTAGCAATGCATTTCTTGTACAAGAACCTATTCACGAAAACAGTGTCTTAACCGGATAATGTGACAGACATGTCTGCTTATGTAGCATGTTTAGCAAGTAGAGCCGAGGTGGCGCAGTGGTTAGGGTGCAGTACTGCAGGCCACTTCAGCTGACTGTTATCTGCAGTTCAGCGGTTCTAATCTCAC